GGGTGGGGAGAGAAGCGATCGCGAGAGAGAGAGAAAAAAAAAGCAACCTCCCAAAATAAAGAGCAAAGATTGCATTAGGAGCGAAGAGCGCTGCAGAAATAGATGGCAGCTTCGTGTCAGTGAGTTTGCATCCCCCTTCCCGGTCCACGCGCTGGAGTGATTGGAGCCCGGGAAGGGAATTGTTACTCCCGTGGAGAAGTCCCCTTTTCCTGGCAGCCGTCTGCACTGTACACGCTGGATGCCTCTCTCCATCCACCTCACTCACTCTCTCCTCTCTCACCTCCTCTCTCCCTCTCTTCTGCATTGATTTTTTTTCTTCTTTCCCTTTTTAGTTGACTGAAACAAAACAAAACAAAAGGGCCACTGGATGTCTGCCTTCTTGGGGGGTGAGCCAGACAGACTGACAAACAAACAGACCCAACTGTGTTCCGGGGAGGGTTTCTCCTCCCGCTTTGCCCGGCAGCAGCAGCATGGACGTGTTGGCTAGTTATAGTATATTCCAGGAGCTACAACTTGTCCACGACACCGGCTACTTCTCAGCTTTGCCATCCCTGGAGGAGACCTGGCAGCAGGTGAATGATTTAAATTACTTGTGTAAATCGTGTGGTGGCGGCGGAGACGCAGGGGCTGCGTTGGTGTGGGCTTCGGGTTTGAATTTTTGGTTTGTTTGATCCCCCCCACCCCACCTTTTTTTTTTTAGGGGGGGGGCGATGCTTGTTGTTTCAAATGTTTTTGGGAAACAGTCATCTGCGTTTACCTCTCCACCCACCCCCTAACCCCGTACTGTGCCGAGCGGAGCAGCCGGGCGAGCTGCCTGCGTCTCAGTCACCAACACACATCCTTGCGCACATGCTGTCGGGCTCGCGGTCCCCCAGCGGAGACCTGCCTAACTTCTGGGGTTCGGAGGAGCCCAGTGGGGACGCGGTTGAGGGTTTTACGAGCGGTGGCTGACAGGATAGCGCGTCGGTCCATGCACGAGCTTGGAACCTTCAACCCAGTGCATTTTTTTGTGCTGACAACCATCAGATTGGGGGGGGGGGCGGGGGGGGGTAGCATCAATAAAGAGGGGGAACTTGATTTGGGGATTGGAAGGTGGGCAGCAGCAGCGAGAGAGAGGAGCCCGGGGATAAAGATACTCCGGGAGGAGGACGGGAAGCTGTGTCTCCAACGCTGACCGGGCATTGTCGGTGTCCCCAGTGCCATGCCCCCAGAAGGAAAACAGCCCCTACGTGTGTCCTTGTTTCTCTCTTTTTGTTTTGTTTTGTGTGGGGTCCCGCTCCAGTTGGACAGCACAACCTCCGACAAAGGACAGCCCGTGCTTGCGTGCCTCTGACTTTGTCTCGGAGGACTCGTTCAACTCCTAGGATGCTGAAGGGCACCGATGCCAAGTTGTCCCAGGGAGGGCTCAGTGGGGCTGGTGACAAGTTCGCTGGGCTTTGTGAAGTGGAATAAAGTGCTGGTCGGCGGAAAGTACTTAGTGATCTGCTGCGGAAACAGTGGTTTTCTCAGCCAGGATTAGGAGCTGCTGAAGGGGACCTTCTGCAGGAAAGATGGTGGGTGGGAGGTGGGAGGTTGGGGGGGGGGGCATGGGTATTTTTTGAAAATTCTACAACGTGCACGAAGGAAAGGCCAACGAAATGGGTTGGATTTACACAGGGGAAGTGTGAACTTGCACAGTGCATCTCGGAGAAGCCCACTTGCCCTTGGGGAGGGCTACGAAGGCTTGGTGTGTGGCTGCTCTTGTAACTTCGCTCTGTGACAGCAGCTTGTTAAGGCTAATGAACGGCTGATTTTCCTCTGCCAGGATCCAAAGCAGGATTGCCAGTTTGAGGCTGGGCTGTAACAGTGGCTGCTTTAGCGAGTGAGGTTTGGCGTTTGGTACCACCGGCCGGGCGGCTAAGCTGATCCTGACTGTACTATTGTTGCTAGCCGCTGCGGACCCCGATGAGAGCCTGCCAGTTTCCCTCCAGGTACTGGCCTCTGGTGTCTGTGTGTCCACACATGCATTCCCGCCCAAGGATGCTTGACTATGTCTCCCTCTAAATGCACACACAGTTCGCACGTTTTTAGCATAAGGCGTGTGTCTTCAGGGCATCCTTTCCCCCATCCTTAATAAAACTATCTCCGGAAGGGTCTCACTACATCTTCTTCCTCCTTTTAGTTCACATCCCAATTAAACCGAAATGCCAGAATTTCATTTTCTGAACTAGCCTTCATTTCCCACTGTCAGCCCCACTGGTGTCAAATGGTTGGGCATTAACAACTGTCTAGACAGGTTAGGAAGGGAATCTGTTGATTTAGTCAGCCTGCCTAAGGCAGCTCTTGTTTGTGACTAACTGTTAAGCAGTGTTGGAGGGAAGAAAGTTGGCTTTATTTGTTTCAACGTTCCCTCCAGATGAATCACACAACTTTGTTTTGGTTCAAGTTTTCACAGTAGTAAAGCCTGCTTTGGGGGGGAAGGCCTCTCCAGAGGAAACTTGCTTTTCTAGAGTGGGTTAGGCCATCTCTGAGAAAGTCTAGATGTGTAAACAAACATCATTGGTTTGATAATTAGGGGACGTCTTCCATCTATTGTTTCCTCAGAAGCCTTTTCCTCCCTCCCCCCTCAACCCACCCCTTCCAGGAACCTCTTTCACCCCGGCCTCCCTCCTTATGTCTTGCCTTAACCCTCTCCAACTGCCAGCTACCCTCATCTTAAAAGCCTTTGCCAAGCTGTGCCAGAGGCACACACATACCGAAACATAACTTGTGGGGAAGCACTCCTAAATAGCATATGGCTCCGAGGAGCTTTCTGCTCTGGGCTGTAGAGTCACAGCTGCTCTATATAAAGGTGACTCTGACTCTTAAGTTCATACTGATGACAAAACCTCCAACCTCTATCTCTTCCTTCCCCCTTTTTCCTACCCCCCCTTTCCTCCTTCTGAGTGCAAGGAGGGGGGAGTACTTATATGCACTGTTGGTTCCAAATCAACCATCAGATGGTGAAATTTTGAGGCTCTTTTGCTCAAAAAGGCTCAAGAAGGTTGCTACAAAGAACCCCAGGCAGGAGGAAGTTTCCTCATGCTCTGGAGTAATCAGATTTTAGAGGTCAAACAAGGAGCAATTAGGAGATGCTCTTCTGAAAGTGAGCAGTGTACCTGGTTTGGAGGAGATGAGTGAAATACAGAGATTCCAGTAATCTGATTTGATTTCGTTTATAGAGAAAGAATGGCTTGGATGATAAACCCAAGAACATCTGTGCATTTGAAAATTGAGGATGTACTATTTGAGGATTTTATTTTAAACATATGGTCTGAGATAACTGTCTTGCTTAATAGTCAGTGAGCCTTCGACGGCCCTCCTGCCACGGATTCATATTTTGATATTGAGTTTTCGGGCAGTGATACCTTATCCACATACAACTCCAACTCTGAAAATCATTGCGGGTATAATTTTAAAATCCAGATGGACTTCCTACATTAACTGCTCTCCACTCCTGGGTTCTGACTGCATACTTAAGCAGTTGGCCCAAGTAACATCATCTCTGCCTGCCATATAACTATAAATTACACTGTGCTTATGTGGTCTATTATTTTATGGAATTCAGCTGACGCATAAGTCTTAAGGCTACCAGTCTTAACCTCTTTGGAAACTTGCAGGAAAATTTTCCAAGAGCTGTCTGAGCAGAAGTAGGAAAAAGTCAAAAGTATGATAGAAGCTAGAGTAGCTTATAAGGGGTACCACTTGGCGATGGATAAAAGAAGAGCCATTCATGAGTTTTGCTGGCAATAGAGAACATGCTTTTCTGGACCCACTGTTGAGTTATAAATAAAAAGGATTTAATAAAATTTTCTTGGTTGTTTGCCTTCGGGAAGCTACAGAGACTTTTAGAACTTGGATATATCCTTTATCCCCAGCCTACTATTCCATCGGTGCAGGTCAAGTAATGATTTGCACTTAGCTGTGCTGTCTACATCTTTTTTTGCACTCAGCTGTGCTTCATGCCACTGAGGAGCATGGTATGTTTACTTGAAATCTCTTATGGAATTATGCTTGTTGTTAATGCTGATTCATAATTGGCAGATGGGGTCAGTTTCAGGCCTCCCTTATGCTCAGAGAAAATTTTCCACTGCTACTGGAAACAAATAAATAAATCATAGAATATTCCTCCCTCCTCCCCCGTTTCCCCATTGTTTTAAACTAATGGCATACTTGGCTACTGGAAGAACTAAAACGTCCCCACAGCACTGCAATTTCAACTCGGCTTCAGACATCCTGAAACACTTTACAAGGGCCTTCGGTACGAGGCATCTCCAGGGGACAACCTACAAAAATGGTTGCCTTCCAAGAACAGCCTCGTGGTACACGGGAGGGGATTAGCTCTGTGAGCTTTGCTGCTTCTCCCTCTCTCAGGTGATCTTGCCTTTGCACACTGCCTTCCGTAGGCCCCAGCAGCCAGGTGCTGTCTCAGCCAGAAAGACAAAGCCAACCGAGGGTCCCTGCATCCGCAGGTTTGCCTCTGTCCCCAATTTGCAGAAACCCTTGTCATGAATTAGAATTTCTTGGCAACAGCACCACCCAGGGAAATTTGTAGACACAAAGGAGCCTTGCTAACCACACTGAAAGGATAAAATAGCTGTTGCTTTGTAAAAAAAAAAAAAAAAAAAAAAAGGGATTTGTGTGCTCTTCAGTTACCATAAGTCTATATATTGTTTTTATTTGAAACAGAGTCTTGGTAGTTGGAATACAAAAATTAGAATTGCCCGTTATCTAGAATTTCTGTATAAGAATGCCATCACTAAATAAAAGGTAGTTTTGCAAACGAAAGCACATGTGAATGCAATCAATCACACTCCTAGCCTTTCTTTAATAGATTCACTCCCATGTTCTTTACAATAGATACATCTTTGTGTAGGTGTAGGGGTTCTCAACCATTATCATTCACTCAACTTGTTTGCTGTTTGGTGTCTGCAAGTGGGTGAATGTTACACTGCAGAGTATTTTTGCTACATCTGTCTTTAGTGGGCAGTATGTGTATGTTTTGAGGGGGGGTATAAAGGAAGTGGTGACTTCTTTGTTCTCCCTGAAACTCCCACCCCCACTTCTTACCCTGATGGAGAATGTGATGTTGGGGTCCAATCCATTTAAAGGGCAGGACAGAAGATGCGCTGTGACAGCCTCACCCTGAAATGATTTATGGATGGGCATGTCAGAGACCTTCAGCTCCAAATGGGGCTCTTGCTCCCTCCAGCCCATTCTAAATATAAGTGCCAGTGGGGCCTATTTGCCTGTCCACTTAAACGGGAAGAGTTTAGCGAGGGTCCTAATGGGGCTTTTAGTAGCCATTCTCTTATAAATCTTCAGGGTCTGCTCCCTTCAGAGAATTCCTGTGTTTTAAATGTTGAGTACAAGGAGGCACTGCAGTCTTCTTGAATCACTCCGTGCCTACCGGGGGAAGAAGAACGCAGCTTGCTCTGGCCGGTCCCAGCTGGCTGGTGTTCGTAGGATAGCCGACCACGCGGGTTAGTAGATGCCCTCTCTCTCTGCAGTTTGCAGCACGTGTAAGGTGTTTTTTTTTTTTTTTTAAATCACC